ACCCGTGGTGGGCAGAGCACAGATAGCCCATTGTGTAGCTTTGTGCATAACTACAAACAAACAAACAAAAAAACTGTTATAACCGTATACGTACGGCTGAATCGTAAACATCTGTTTAAACACATATCCAAGAACTTTAATTTAAACAGGAGTGTTTTTCTTCTTCCTGTTAGGTAGTCATTTATAATTACCTGAAACAAAAACGCCGGTTCATTTTAAAGCATTTTCTAACCAAGCTACTTTGTCTTGGCAAAGATAGAAATGTATAAAAACTTTCAAGTTATTTATCCGAGAAATATTTAATTGTTAAGATGTGGAATTTCCCCTTTTCCTTCGTGTATTTATGACGTGAATTAAAAAGTAACAATAGTTTCAACGTATATTTTTTTTAGCAACTGTTCATATAACGTTAGAATACGTTTTCAAAATAGCATTCGGTCTTTCCACTTCTTGAAAACTACAAAAAAAAAAAAAACAGACCAGTTTCCCATTCGCTGTGTTGTAACATTAAAAGAAGGACTTGAATTGTGTTTTCTTAAACTCATCAAAGCAACTCATACCTAATAACTGCCAACACGAAACAACCATCGCCAGTCTGTATTTGTATATGTTTTTCATTAGAATAGGACTATACATATGAAAATTCACACAAAGATCGCTGTGGCGCAATCAAATCGCAAATAATAAAGGGGGAGCGGAAACTTATTTCACCCTTGAATGGTATTTGAGAAATAAATCTGTTAATGTTTGTATCATTTCGAGCCAGGACACCCTTCCCCCTGGTGATTTTAAACTCTGATTGTAACACATGTACTTAGAACAATCTTTTTCTTTCTTTCTGGAACAATGAACATATAAGCTAAAATCTTTTAAACTCACTAATTTCCGTCCTTAAATGTAATACCGCATTTTTCATTTGCTACAAAGAAAATGAACGACATAATTAAAGTACCTTATACATTTCAGTCTTTCTCTGTGCTCTATGTTGTGTCACTGTTTTAAGGCATTAACCACGCGTGTTTCACAATATCACAACCAATCAAACCATTATTTTCTGCTTCTAAGCCTGTTTAAAAACATCTTATTTGTTCCAATATTCTATTTAGAGCTCTGCAGTTAAACTTGTAAAGGACACTGCGGAATTTTCAACACCACGCGACAGGAATGGGAACCAAACTTATTGGCTTTCTAAAGACGCTAATACCTGGTTATACAAATGTTAAAGTAAATTAAATATTTGGAAATAGAAGTAAAAGTAAAGAAGACCTTGAGTTATGATAAATATAGTAAAACGTTCAATTACTTCTTCATGTTTTTTGCGTAGGTGATTACTAATAGCAACAGTCGACTTGACTTGGTTCAATGCTACATATATATATCCCCTGACGACAGACAAGTTTCAGTAAGCAAACAGATAATCAATAATATGACATTATACATGTTTAGCGATATACAGGCCCACCAAAGTCAAACACGTGGATTTCATCTAGTCCAATGATGACTACAAGTAGGAAGAGGTCTTTGTCCTATTCCACTTGTTCTGATACGAACTGAAACAACTTGTTTAATGACTTTTTTTTTTATAAGCTAAAATCCCTCTACTTTGGACAATACCCTTTAAATGTTGAATTATTCGTATATTTTTGTAGAGCTTGAAAAAAAAACAATAAAACTACATTTCAGGTTAATTAAAAGCAGTAGAGTAAGAGATTTTTGAGCAACTTAAGATTCAGAATGGAAATACACAAGAAATCTTAATTTTTGCTGCAGATAAACTTTCCGAAAATGAGTTTTTAAAGATTTTATTAATATTTCAATATTTTATTTACTTGCTGTCGTTCTATCGGTTAGGGGGCAATTGTGTATTGACAGATTATGTACTTTTATTATTTTATCAAAATGTATAATACAAAGCAAAAGTTTCAGTAATAAAGAAAAGTCATAGTCGTGGGGATTGACAAATCTAGCCAGCCTGATAACTTCTGTTTTTGAGATGAAGACCTTTTTGGGGTATCGGCAACCAGAGTCTTGTTTGAAGGAACACCGTTCCTATTTGGACATACAGAGCGTGCAGAAGGGAAATTTCCTAAAGTCAGAATTTAAATCTTAATTCTTTTACCACCTGATTCAAATTTTAAGCCCATATTTCTGTAAGCTGTTTGTTTGTTTGTTTATTTTAAAGCAAACCAGCATTGGGCTATCTTCTGTGTCTACCCCTGGTTTTAGCGTTGTAAGTCTGTAAAATTACTGCTGTCCCAACGAAAGACCCTTTTTAGCTTTTAACATTAATTTTATAGTTCTTCTACATAATACTTTCGATTCATTTAACAGCTTAACTGACCGTGACTAACGAGACAATCAAATCAAGTACTTATATTTATCACTTACTTAAGATATTGAGATTTAGTTTTAAAAGATGTCATTTATGAACGCACTATTCACAAGGGAAGGTATACATGGGGGTGATGGATACTTTTTTAAAGGATGCTACACTTAAAGACGATTAGAGTGTCTAATGATAAGATATTTCCAGTGAAACTGAGATGTTATATCACTCTAGATACTCTAACAAGGTATAGCCAAGTTTAGTTTATTTTGTTCTGATTGTGAATATTCTTATGGGAAAATAATATTCTTAAACAGATCGGTTCAACATTTTGTCTTGGGGTATTTCTCAAAACCGTATAAAACTGGTTGCTTTCAGTTGTTTCTCTTAGTTTTATTAACAGCAATGCTGAGTCATGTCAGTATGGTCTTAGTTTGGGCAACATAAGTGCTGAATTATGTAAATGTGGTCTTACTTTTATCAGTATCAATACTGAGTTATGTCATTGTAGCGTTAGTTTTGGCAGTATCAATGTTGAGTTATGCCAGTGGTGTTAGTTTTATCAGTATCAATGCTGAATTATGACAGTGTGGGTCTTAGTTTTATCTGTATCAGTGTTGAGTTATGACAGTGTAGGCCTTAGTTTTATCCGTATCAATGCTGAGTTATATCAATGTAGTTCCATATTTATCAAACTCACCTTTCAAAAAGAGAAAAAGTTGATTGTTGCTTTCTATCACAATACACCCCTTACAAAAATGAAAGTGAAGCTGTCCGTATCAGAAGCAATTAGCTTTTCTACGTGAAATTTAGGGTTGGAATTCTATCACTTTCCTGAGATGAAAAATATACACATAAGCGGTAAACATCAAAGTGTAACCGTTAGCAGGAGGTTATTTAATGTTCATGAGTCGAGTGGACGGGATCTTAATGAAACGTCAGTCTTGCGGTTTTACTCAAGGAGTTTCATCTTGATCGGGATCTACAAATCTATTTACAGATATCACATAAGTAACGACGTGCTTCAAAATGTTCATAAAATACATATCTATCATTTTACAAATACAGTGTCAAGCCTAGATATGATACCGCATGCGACATTTCCCGCTCTATAACGTCTCGTTTTTGTTCCGCCTCATGATAGAGTATTGACTTAAGAATATTAAATAGTCTCTAGCCTCCTACAAAATGTTGGACGTAAGTTAGCATTATAAGCACGGGGCCGGCGTGGCCAAGAACTTAGCGTGCCTGAAGTGTGAATCTCCGCAATTTGGGACGAGTGGTGCGCTACAAGAGTGGCAGTCAAATTCCACTATTCGGTCAGCCAAAAGGTTTGATGGTAGGTGTTGTTGACTAGCTGCCTTCCCTCTAGTCTGCTCCCCCCCCCCCAGTGGCACAGCGGTGTGTCTGCAGACTTACAACGCTAAAAACTGGGTTTCG